CACCAATCTGGCTGGTCGCATTAACTGTAGCGCTCCTTCAAGGGGCGAGAAGCCCAAAAGCATTTCTTTTGCGTATCACTACTGCACTGAGGTGAGGTGGTCTAGGCCAGACGAAGGAAGCATAATTCCGATGCCTAAAGCTTCTCAGTCTGGCTTCCATATGAGTACAGCCTCATTCAACATTTCTATGGGGTTTCTGTGGTTACCAACAACCACGGAAACGACTCAAACCTTGGAAAGGCTGTAAGTTCAAAGAAAAAAAAAAAAAAAAAAAAAACAGTCTCCAACTTCTGCGATCCTTCGAATAACCGGAAAGGGAGACCCTGCCTTGCACATGGCAACGGTGCACTTAGTGCGAGTCACAGGTATGCAGCGGCCTACATTTATCCTCATGAGTTCGAACAGAAAAGGACTTTGGTTGAGTATCGTTGAAAAGATTCTCCGTGACGTGAGCCACCAATCCACAGCCCCAGCGTGGTTGATAAGCTAAGCAGGTCATACCAGGCCCAAGAAAACAGGCCACATACAAATATTGCATACTCAGGTTCCCCTCACCGACTTGTTCAGTCCCGCATTTAATAGGTGGCTTATTGCATGAGAACAATTGAGCTCACTCTCTCCTTTCGACCTTTGATCGCTCTGGCACATACTCTATGCAATGACCTCCATAACCGTTCTCCGAGATGTCTCGCCTACCCAACTAGACGAGCTGATCGAACTTGCGTGCCGCATTTGGGTTGATGATCCAGCTTTCTCGATGCTATTCACCAAGCATCACGACAACAGGATTGAGAACGTTCGTGTGATATGGCGACTCATTCTCAGATATGAGATGGCAAAGGCTGGTACCATGATAACCGTCGCTAGGGACGTGTCCGAAGCCGGAGGGGGACAGTATGTTGGCCTCGGCATTTGGCAACGACATGGGACGTCCGCGAAAGCAAAGTCGTGGCAGGTTAACAGCCTGCGCAAACGTTAGCCTCAACTCATTTAAACCGCAGAAATGTCTAACCCGCTAACTCTTGCCTCTAGGTCTCATGATGCTGCAAGTTGCTTTGGAATACTGGTATCGGCTCTTGGTCAGGTCTTTGCCGGCCAGCAAGGTCAAGGAGTTGATGTCTCAGCTGAACAAAGCCCAGAACATGTATCCAGCTGAACGATGGCGTCTATGTTGGCTTGGCGTATGTCCTGACGCTCGAGGTCGCGGTGTTGGGAGGGGACTGATTCAATGGGGGCTTGACCGTAGCGATGAAGAAGCTGTGCCCACGGTTCTAGAAGCTAGTAACGCGGGTGCTATTTTGTACAGAAAACACGGCTTCAGGGAGATTGGGAGGCAGAGTTTTGATGACGGCAAGCATACACAGCCTATTATGCTTAGGGATGTAGTCGGGTCAACTCCGTAGGTGTGGGCAGTGCCTCTATGCTATGTGTTTCCAAGTTGAAATTTAGAATCATCTCATCTAAACAGTGTCTACGGGGGAAATCGACGCAAAGGATATAAAGGAATGAGGGAACACGAAGGATTAGGTATGTCCTGGTTCTCGAGTAGTGGAGTTGTGGGATGGAGATGCTCAAAATTGTGAAGTTGATCGAACTTAGTTGCATTTCGAGCCGAAAATCAACAACTCCACAGGAACTCGACCTCACCATCAGTCGAAATCGTGGATACCGGCCGGCTGGCGCAATGGTAGCGCATCAGACTTCTATCTTCTCATTTATGAGATATAGTCATCTGGGGGTTGTGGGTTCGAGCCCCACGTTGGTCATTCTTTTGCACTTGGAAGTGAGTGGTCAGGGTTTTTTGTTGCTTGTCATGTAAAAACATCGAGATCTTCGAACAGAATTTTTCATTTAGTGGGTTCCGGCGGCTCCGGGCGGGGGCACCCCGTGAATTGAACCGGGGCGGAGCCGTCTCTGCAGGCTGTGGCTCGACATTAGTATCCCATCCGGTCCCGGCCAACGTAGTCGCCCAGGTCTTCAAGTCTGCCATTGCGGCTTGCGTTTCTCGATAAAGGATGCGATTCCTTCTTGGGCATCAGCACTCCCCGCATGAAGCGCCATGACTCGTCCGGCCCAACTCGCCGCATCCTCATAACCATCACCTCCTCTTCCGTCAACATCGTCACCTTTGATGCCGAGCTGTGTCCAAAAGGCCCATTTACCGAGGGCCATCGGCTGACCCGCTGACCCCGCAAGTCTCTCCACCACCTCTGCAACGCGCCCTTCGAAGGCGGCAGCCGCCGTGTCCGTGGACTCTGCATGCTCGGGCGTCGGCACCACATCGACAGCACCTCGCATGTCGTCAGCGGCGACCGCTTCGGCTGTGAGAAGAAGTCGGCAAGCTTGGCCTGGTGGTAGGCGCCGGGATACGGCCGTCACGGGGCTCGTGCACGGTATTCCTATGCTCGCGCCGGGCAGCTGGAACTTGGTGGTAGACAGGGCGATTGGGTAATCGGTCGACAACGCGAGCTGGAGTCCGGCAGCCGTCGCGAGGCCATGGATGGGACAGATGACGGGTGCCGGGCTCTGGCGAATGAGAGACATGACTTCGGCGCAGAGAGTAAACGTGCGCTTCACCTCCACACGCGAGAGCGAGGCCAGTTGTTTGAGGTCATGACCCGACGAAAAGACTGGCCCCGGACTGCTTCGGAGGACGAGGACGTTCGGGAGCCCGGCTCGCTCTCGGTTCCATTCTGCGGCATCGACGAGCCAGCTGTATCCTGACGAGCTCCTGTCGCCCGAGTCAGACGATGAGCCTGCCTTCTCGAGCTCTCGCAAGATTGGGGGTCTAAAGGGAGGGAGCGTCAAAACTCTGCCGGATGATGGTGACGTGAGGTGCGCGAGTAGCTGCGTGCGGAGATCTTCTAGTATCTCCAGACTCAGGGCATTGCGCCTTGCTGGGTTTCGAAGATGGATGTAAGCGGCTTTCGCTGGAAGCTTTGGGAGCTGCATCGGAAATTCTAACCTCTTAAATCAGCACCGGGCGGTAGGTTAATAGGAGAGTTGATAGATGCAAGGCAATTGCCGATGTGACAATCAGCATTCCTCTCATACAGGGTCTAGCCAACCCAGGTGGATGGAACGCGGGCGAGTAGAAATTCGCTTACCCCGCCAAGTTCAGACTCTCGCTCCCTCCACAGGCGAGTGGCATTTCATTCCTTGTCTCACCCGCCTCAAGAACAGCACATGTTTTTACGAGCAGTTTTTCTAGTTGCCGCCTTCTCCACTGCAACTGAAAACAACTTAATTGTAAGCGTATGTTCCGTATCCATAGATCGACCGCCGGCCCTTTCACGGCCAGAAATGTCCAGTTGAACTGGTTGCTTGGCAAGATCGCCTGTGCTCCGGCAGGGCCGAGTCTTGACTTTTCTGCCTCCCAGTTCACGTGTTAATGGCCCGAATATCTGGTGCAGAGGAGAAATCCCAACCAATAATGCGATTCATTATCTAATTATAGTCTACTTCGACTTCTTGTGACTTTTGGCGTATCTCCAATGTCAACTTCTCCGGAACCATGTGCCGTATCATGTGGTATACCACAGTTCCATTCCTCCTCGGGTCTGGAAATTCATGTCGAAGATCCAGTTCGGGTGATTCAAAAGGGTCTTCGTAAAACACCCCACCAAGCTTCTGAATGACCCTGCACCGCTCTTCCATATTTCTCGCGTTCTTTATCCGACCAACTCCCATGCTGCGACCGTCTTCATCAAAGACCCGGAGAACCCAAGCGCCGCCCGTGGATGGGTACCCGGCAATGACATGATCGCTTCGTCGAGACGTTATTGGGTAGTCGCCAAGTTTGGAATAATCTTCTAGTTCGCGGGGGTATTCGCTATCAAACCACACCGCACCGAGCATGCGCATCCTCAAACAGTGCGCATCTTCCTCCGCCTGGTCTTCTGATCTTAATGTGGGTTCGAAACGGTCGAGCTGAAGGAATTCGAGGTCTACGCCAACGCAGTCGTCTAGGAAGAAAATCCCACCGTGGCTTGGCCATCCACGCACCGCCGTGCCGGATCTTATCCCGAACGAGGTTCTGTACTTTTGTTCCGGGGTTATCGCGTCCTTGTAGCCGCGGCAATAGGAGCAGCGAGAACAATTACCGCCATCGTCATCGTCGTAGCCGTCTGAAGATGGTATGATCGTCATGATTCGATAATACTCGACAGCCCAGGCTACTAGTCTGATAGTAACATAGAAGTAAGATGCAATTGATATGGAGTACAATACTTGCGACGGTCTGAGCAATATTTGTAGAGGGGCAGTGAAAACATTCAAGGTCATTTTTCGCGAATGGCACTCCGGAGGCCGCAGGTTATCTCGGGAAATTGAAACTTTATTCCGCGAGGCCGAGTCGGTCACTTCCCTGGTTTTCTAGTAAACCGCCGACTGATGCCTATTTCGCCGAGAAATGCAGCCAACTCCCGCCCTGTTGGCTGCCTGGATAGGAGATTACTTGCTTATGCCTGCAGCCTGGCCCAGAAGCATGGCATGGTCTGTTGGTTGCTGCCTTAGTCATTCAAACTCCCCGACAACAATGACAGGAAGTGTGTCGCAGTAGATGGTTTGATAAAAATAGAGCTTGGTCTTTCTATTGCACAGAGCTTTCTATCGATATTACCACAGTGTCCCTTAAACTTTATACACGTGTTGCACAAATGCGGTAGGCAAAGCCCTTGGAATTTGAAATGCTACGATACCTACCCCTTCCCCGGACGGGTGCTTCATCATTGTGTTGTCAACAGTCTGGGAGTCTACCTGGCCAGTGGCAGCTACTTAATCAGCGGCGGGGGAAAGATCTCACCCGGTCATGGTGACACGATCGGGGGATATCTGCTTGACAAGCCGCCATGTGTCTCAACCACAGAACTTAATTTCTCAAAACAGGCAAATGGATAGGCCAAACACAAACAACGCAGATTCACGAACCTCCTACTCCGTTCAGCACATACTGCCATACCGCATGATACAGCATGTGCTATTCACCCTGACCTATAGATCTAGTGTACGCCCAGTATCCTAACAACGAGCTCTGGAACCTCATCGGCCTCTTTGTAGAATCTCCCGCCGCAATTTTCGATCATCTGGCACCGTTCCTCCATGTGCCTCGCATTGTGAATTCTCGCAGCTCCAGCGTTAGCAGCCTCTGCCCTGGTGGTCTTCAGCAGCCAGAGACCACCCGCTGCTGGATAGCCAGCAATGACAACAGCATCTTCCCACGTGGAATTCCCAAAAGACTGGTTGACCAGATAATGCGTCAGGCTCTTCCACCAGTTTGGCCCAAGCTTCATCATCCTTGCGCAGTGCGCATCCTCCTCTTCCGGATCTCCTGACCTGAATGAGCGCTCGAAGCGGCTCAAGCCCAAGAAGTCGAGTTCCACACCGTCGCACTTCAGCGTATAACATCCCCCGGTGCTCGGGTATCCATAGACTGTGGTCCAGTGACCCGCGCCGAAGGCTGTACGGCGATTGAGGAGTAGGCGTCCTGCATCGTTGAAAGCGGCGACGAGGCGTTCTTCGCGTCTTAGTGCTTTACGAACTTGGTGCTCTGCTCGTCTTTCCACGCATCGACAACGTCTTTGGCCATGTCCGGCTTCCAATGCTGACGACAGTGCTTCGGACGGCATGGTCACTGCCGGCCGGCTAGGCGGTTCGGCTCGGGAAGACATGTGCGCTGAGAGTAAAACCATGGCAGTGTAGAATACAATGGCAGCGGTGGCGTAGAGGGTGTGAGGCATTGTTTTGGGCATAACTCGGTCGCTCGTCGGGCAGAATACACGGCCTCCCCTCTAGGTATCAAGACCGAGGTGTTCTTGGCGGCGGGGAAGCCTGAGGGCATTGACAGTGTGCTACTTGCACTCAGCCCAGGGTTGCCGGCGGCATGCTTAAAGTAAGTTTAATATAGTGCGTCAGATATACAGCATGAAAGTGTGAAATCAGCAACCTAGTCTTGACGATGATGCCGCGTTCTATATGGCTGCCTTCAAAGCGTCGGAGACTCCCGAGTCAATGCAATCATGGTGGCCTAATTGACGACGTTGAATTTGTCCTCTCATACTTGGCAGATCAGGCACCCAAAGCAACTGAATATCCGCTTGAACACTACGAAAAAACGATGTAAATTACTCGATGTCGTCAATGGAACGACACGTAAGCTGTTGCTGCCTAGTTGCCAATCCTGAGACCGACATGAGTTATTGCAGCCTACCTAGTAACAAGAGGAGTGTCGCTTTTGTGCAATGGTTAATGCAGACTATTGTGAAACATAGGCAGAGGCATCGGTTTTATTTGATGATATGTGTTTCGTAAGTAAACTTTCTTGCACCCTGATTGACGCAATAAGTTGAACCCGTGTATACGATGAAAGCTGAGTTACAGCAGTGAACGACGAACAAATACTTCATGCAATGCTTTTCCAACCAGTGCCACCCAGATTTGAGAAAACAATACGCTTATCCATGAGGGGGAATCATATGTTCGATACAAGGCCGTTTTCATAAAGAGGTCCGGTGGCTACATGTAGGTGCGTTCTCCTCAGGAACGTTGCCCAGCCATTTCATGACCAGAACAAGAATGCAACTATGGCTCGTGGTCGTCGTACGACTTTCGTCGTTGATCAAATATTTCAGTGAAGGTCACAACTTCTTTTTCGCCCAGCTCTATTGATGGTGGCGGCGGGGCTGGGGTAGGAGCAACTTCGACATTGGATATTGGAGTAGCTTTGCCGCTAGAGTTGATCCAATGAATGACAAATGCGGTGAAGAGAACTACCCAAATTTTAGAGTCTGATCAAAGTTGCAGAACGGCTCTGGCGAGGAGGGAAGACGAAGCGGGAAGGTAGGGAGTAAACTTACTGTCCGTATTGCAACAGGTGAGACAAAGCCAAACTATCTCGCCTTCCAGAGCGACCAACACTGATAGGTTGCTAGAAGAGATCGATGTTAGCCCAATCAAGAATTTCATGCTTTCACATCATTTATCGCTTCTTACGCAATGCTAATGGCCAATGTGCCGATAACACCGGCAAACGTTCGTAATGCGAGTCTCCGTAGCCTTACGTTGGGCGGAACTCGAGAGAAATGAAGGGTATTCTCATGCATCGTCCATGGCTTCATCATCGATATTTGAATCGAGTGTAATCCTAATGACCCGGTGTCAGAGCTTGTCCAGATTCAGAGAGACTGAGAAGCCACATGACTTACTCAGTAGTGGAAACAAGAACAGAGACGTCAGATACACGTTGACAACAGCGTCAAAGAAAATGACGGGCAACAGGATGGTGCGTTCCAGTCCGATGCTGCAGACATCATTTTCCTTGTCGTACCGAGACCCTCGACTAGCAGAGCAACAGGTGTTAGTGTATGTTTCGGGGACAGAGCATGAGAATACTTACGAGACAAAGTTGAACGTTGCTATAATGCCGTATACAGCTAATGGCAATCGGTCAGGGATGTTGGCGACTGGGCTCGGAACATGGACATACCCAGCATGACAAACGCATTGAATACATACAATTTGGACTTGAGACGAGACTTGGTAGTGCCTCGGATAACATGCTGGTCAAGGCGTTAGCCGTGAATGAGATCGGGGGGTTATTTGGGGTAGAGTTTTACCGCTTTATCAACCATGAAAAGGTAGACGAGCTGATTGAAGAGTCAGATTGGCCAAGATTCAACGATTGGGATTGACGCCTGGAGGACCAGTAAACGTACGGCCTGTGACGGATTTAGCAATGATACCAACAACGGACTTGATTTACAACTTACTTTGATTACGACGTAGGCAGTCAGACACAGTATGCCCGCAGCTGAACATGGTATGAAATCCATGCGAAGCTCAGCCAGAAATAAAAGCTGGAAGACCCATGATCCGAAGACGAAAAGGCACGAGAAGAGGTAGGTGAATAACACAACTGCGACATGTTCTTTTAGCCCAAAAGGTTCCAGACTCTTTTCGAAATGTCATCCCTTACGCCATCTTGTCCATGGCAACGGACGCCAGTCTTTAATCGCGGACCACTGGTGACCTTGAAAGCCATTAGATCTTGTCGATAACCTAGCAGCAACGATTCCCTCACGAAGTAGGTATGCCAGGAGGCAAGACGATATAGGTGCGATAATGAGGCTGATAATCTGCTCGGGGCGGATCTCGTGTTTCGGGCTGCTCGACGTCTCGATGACTGTGGAGTCGATGTCGTCCATCTCGAAGAGGGGATTCGCCAAAGGAGTGTCACGGTGGAGGAGGACCTCTGACCTCTTGTCGATGCCGGTGTCCTTCAATATCAACGCTGGGTGACATGTGCTGAATGATGAGATCCTGAGATCAATGGGCCATGGAACGTATCAGCTGGCGTGCCTTGGTATAAGTAGATTTCGGATTGACGAAGGTCAGATGCGGCCGAGTGCACATGTAGGGAGGCTTAAGGTTTGAGGCGTTGCTAATGGGCTCCTGTGCAGTAGGGTTGGACTGCCATTCGTGGATTAGGTTCTGAAGGAAGCCTTACGACGGTGTTATGACTCGCTTTTGGGTTTGGGCTACTTCAGTCGAATATTCAGTCTGGCCTGTCGATGGTATTTTTTCAGATGAGCTTACCGCTTTGCTGGCACCGTCATCCTCGTAACTTTCCCAAGAAAGTGGCCATCAGACTGGGGGAGCTCACAGTAGAGATCTTGTGGCAGCCAAAGCCAAGACATTCGGGTATGAGCTCCTCTACAGTGCTGCCATAGCGCAAACCGGCGCGCATGGTGTCCGGCATCTACCTTAACCGCGAATAATGAGTATCCCCAGCGGTCGAAGTCCAGAGTGTTTCCTCACATCCGGACATTGCTGGAGGCCGTCGCTTGAATTATTCGCCGCAGCCAGTAAATGCAGCATACTTGAGACGATCGTCACTCCAAGGGGCTAAACTTCGCAGGGTACGGTAGCAAGCTGCAGAAGGACCGCCTAAAGCCTTTGGAGAAACTAGTAATAACGAACATCTCCTAATGTTTCGTCTTGTATCCTCACCAGAAAGATTCTCGCGAGGAATTCAGCGATGCCTGCCGAGCAGAGTGCGTGGCACCCCCATCCCACACTTGTATGGTTTCCATCTCCCCTAGCAGCCCGTTTCTGTACACCGGGGGAAACTTTAAGCCCCAAACGGGATCATTCAAAGAGACAGTAACGGGCCTAAGCTCTGCAGTGGAGAAGTTGCGAGCCAATCGAGTGTTTGGACTGCTTGTGAGGAGTGAGTGTCATAGCTCCTATTAGCGGCGATTGATACATCAACCCGATGTAGTTCTGGATCTAAATCCATGGCATGCGGCCCGTACGTGAGTTTCTCGGTCCCTCATCTGTGGAGGCGTCAACATCCCACATAAGCCTTGGAATAATCGTATTCCGGTCCCTTTGTGTGCAACAGTAGTATCTCGTGGGAGATACTAGGAACGTCCCTGATTCCCCTGCGTGGTGACATGCGCTACGCTAACCGTAAGCTCCGGTTGCTCCGCTCAGTATTCCCTACCAAATAATCTAGCCTTCATTTGCGGTCTACGGAGCGGTCCTCTGGGACAAATTCGAGCCCTTATTCATTGCCAAAGACACAACAGTCTGAAAACATGTGTCTGTTGTTCTGCATTCAAATACTTCGTTTTGATAGCATAAGTGCGTGAGTAGGCGTCAATCCCTCGACGGGTCAGCCGGCACTGTGCCGCCGGGGTTCTGGCCGCATGGCTTTTTGTGGCTGGTTTGGCTTCAACGGTTCTGCTGACCGGGCAGACAATATCGTGATGCACGAGGTGCTACTGCGCGTCCTGCCCGTTGTTATGCGTCGTCGGCACGTTTTCAGGTGCAGGCAGAGATGTAACACACTAGGTATACGAAAAATGGCAGGTTTCCTCGCGAGGGCTCCCTCACCCGTATGCATCGTACCACTCGACACCGAAGGGTTCAACTTCTAGAACGTAGAAGATTTGCTACCATGAGAGACGGGGAACCGCTGCACGTTTTCGTTTTTCATCGAGTATTGACATCCCAGAAATTTGGTACACCACAAGCAGAGTCTCAGTGCAAAGCTCAAGACGAAGCTTTCCATGATGGAAGCGCCGACAAGACTGGGCAATCAATGAAACGGTCTAAAAACCGGCACACGGCCTCCGGAGCGTGGTCCAGCAACGCATCAAGTTGTAGAGCATTTTCTTCAGGTGGCAGCTGCACCAAACTCAGCCTCGGCCTGAGTCCTGGGTTCTCCCGACTTTCTCGAACTCTAGTTCGGATTCTCCCGACGGGTCGGAGTCACTTACCCTTGCCGTGGGAGGGGCACTGGGGGATCGGAGGAGAGGGGAGCGCAGAGGTGGACACAAAGAACTGCTGTCTTGGCGTCCGGGGCACCCCCACATCGGCACCCAACCTTGGTGAGTCGGGCTCCTGGGCAGTCGATTCGGTTTCGCACCTGGTACTGAGCGCCGCATGCTCTAGGATTTGGTCTGTTTAGGCTCTTGCGGACCTTTCCTAGGGCTGAGGATCACTTCAGGCCGGCAGCAGGCCAGTCCGTGGTCAGAACCAGACTCTCCACAGACCCTTTGGACACTTTACTTACCCTTTTGAGAATACGTATGCGGTAGCTCATTGGTGGGAGTAAATTGCCGTACCGACTCTGTTTTGTATAGTAGTGATAGAGGTAGAGTCGACTTGGTGTCTGGAACGTGCTCTTTTCACTGATAATGTGTGGGCAAGCTTATCAGCGCGTTATTGTTATCAA